CCACCTTAGGTGTACGTGGCGGGCGCCTTAGCCCTCAGTCTGACTTTAAAGAGACCCTACAATTTGTCCCCTCCTGATTTTCCTGACCATCTTTTTCACCAACCCTGGAAAGCTCATCTCATCTCACTCTGCTTCCTTTTCACTACAGTAGATGTTAATGCTCTTGTACCTGCTATATCTGTTTATTGTGCTTTCTTGGGAAGTACCTAGAATGGCTCAAATCCCACTTTTCCCACAAAATCCTTCCTGACCACTGCAGATGTACTTTTCCTTTGCTGGCCTGCTTTGCTACATGTCTGTGCAGGGGAACGTCACATTTAGGAACAGCCTGTCAGCCCTCTGAGTCATCTTATTTTTTTTTAGACATAGTCTCACTGTGTTGCCCTCGGTAGAGTGCTATGGCATCACAGCTCATAGTAACCTCAAACTCTTGGGCTCAAGCGATTCTCTTGCCTCTGCCTCCCAAATAGCTTGGACTATAGGCATCTGCCACAATGCCTGGCTGTTTTTTGGTTGCAGTTGTCATTGTTGTTTAGCAGGCCCAGGCCAGGCTCAAACCCGCCAGCTTTGGTGTATGTGGCTGGCACTCTACTCACTGAGCTATGAGCGCTGAGCCTGAGTGGTGTCTTGATAGGGGAATGTGGTGTGAGCAGATAAGAGGCAGACACTAAAGAAACAGGCCTGACTTGAATCCCAGTCTGACCATTCACTAACTCAGATTTCCTTTCTCTGAGCTTTAGTTTCCTCACTTGTAAAAGGGAAATAAAACAGTTTTGTGAGGCTTAACAGAGAACGTCTGTGGTGTGTTTAGTTTGATGGTAGTCATGATTACTAGTCATTTTCTCCACAGACTTGATGCCTAGATTTAACCACAAGTCTGCTTAGTAAACCCATTTACTGACAGATTAATTGATTGCCCTTCTCAGGTACATGGCCACCTCTGGCCTGGACCACCAGATGAAGATCTTTGACCTTCGAGGGACATTCCAGCCTCTGAGTGCTCGGACTCTGCCTCAGGGAGCAGGGCACCTGGCCTTCTCCCAGCGGGGACTGCTGGTTGCAGGAATGGGTGATGTTGTCAACATCTGGGCCAGGCAGGGCCAGGCCAGCCCACCCTCCCTTGAGCAGCCCTACCTAACCCACCGGCTCTCAGGCCCTGTGCACGGACTTCAGTTCTGCCCCTTTGAAGATGTGCTAGGGGTGGGCCACAGTGGGGGCATCACCAGCATGCTGGTCCCTGGTGAGTTGGCCAGGGGATAGGGCTCAAAGTGCATGAACCCTGCCTAAAAGCTTGGGTGGGCCTGAGACAGCTAGTAGCATGGGGCTTCATCAGGGTGGAGCTGCTGGACTGGGATCTTCATTATGGCTCTATGTTCTTCCCTCCTTTCAGGGGCTGCTGAGCCCAACTTTGATGGTCTGGAGAATAACCCATACAGGAGCCGGAAACAGCGTCAGGAATGGGAGGTGAAGGCCCTGCTGGAGAAGGTGAGGTTCTCTCTGCTGGAGAAGGTGATGTGTGTGGTTTGGGTCTGGAGGTAGGGAAAGCTCCCCAGAACTCTTGAGCATTCTCCATAGCTTCTGTCTCATTGGTGCCACCCTCCTGTGGCTCCTTGTCCATTCCTGTCCCTCTATGACACCCCCAGGTACCTGCAGAGCTTATTTGTCTGGACCCACGAGCCCTGGCAGAGGTGGATGTCATCTCTTTGGAACAGGCAAAGAAGGAGCGGATAGAGAGGCTGGTATGGAGCAGGCCTGAGTGACCAGGCCCTTCCTTCTTCACTACTATGTCCTCTCCCTACCATAGGCCTGTCCTCATGAGTGCAGCACAGCAGGTGGGTCCTGCCAGTGCCCTGACTCTGAGGCTGTTAACAGATTTCACTCCTGTTCCCTCCTTCAGGGTTATGACCCCGAAGCTAAGGCTCCCTTCCAGCCAAAGCCAAAGCAGAAGGGCCGCAGCTCCACAGCAAGCCTTGTGAAAAGGAAGAAGAAGGTCATGGACGAGGAGCATAGGGTAAAGGAGCACTCTCATGGGCTATACCCTCCAGCTTGGACTGTCGGCAAGCTGCCACTTATCTATCAATTTGTCCATGTCCTCTCCCCTTCTCCTATCCCCAGGACAAGGTCCGGCAAAACCTTGAGCAGCAGCAGCAGCACAAGCAAGAGAAGGCCAAGCCATTGGGGGCCCGGCCATCTGCCCTGGATAGATTTGTGCACTGAACCATTTTCCAGGGTGGCCTGGGAACAATCTCTCCCTAAGGTCACCTACAGGGAAATGACTGTTTCTTGGAACAAAGAGGGAGTAATGTGCTCCCCTCCCCATTTGGAGGTGGACAGCTGGCTCTTGGGGTGGATTAGTAATAAAGAGGAAAGTGATTTTTTTGGATAATGCCTTTGTATCATCCTGTGGACCTGTTCCCCGCCACCACCCCGCTGCCCCCCGGGCATGGGACTATTCTAGGATCAGATGGATCGCAGTGTCCTGCCTCTATCTTGGTCCCATACCTTGCAGTTGCTGTGGCCTTAGTCTTGCCTTTTAGGAACCTTCCTCCTCAGAGAGGCTGTCCTTTCTCCCATGTACCTGGAGATGTCCTTCCCATCTGGCAGGATCTAGCAGCCTTTGGGCTCTCCAGGTTTGTGTTCTGGGAGTCCTAGCGAAGACCACACTGCACTCGAAGAAGTAGAGAGACAAGTTTATTGAGGGGCATATGCCCCTCTCCTGCCCTGGCTGGAGAGAACAACTCCAACTTTTTTTTTTCTTCCTGGTGACCATCTTTGGAGCTGGCAGTCCAGGTCTCTAGGGTTCTTCTACATCCCTGTCTTGATGACAGACAACCACATGAGGAAACTGATCAGCTGCAGGCAGCTAGGAGCCCTTGTCTTGGGCCTGAGAGAGGTTTCGGAGGTGCTGGCTGGACCATCAGCTCCTCACACCCTTCCTTGGCCCCAGGTACTCTCAGCTGTGAAGCCAGGCTATTACCCGACACCGTAGGATGCCCAGGGCTCTCTGGAGCCAGGAGCAAAAGGGCACAGTCCTTTCTCCATCAGAGCCACCCACCAGCTTCCAGGCTTCTTGCATCTTCCAGGGGTCCAACTTGTGGGATGTCAGTAGGAACTTCCCATAGCAGCATCGGTCCAGGGGATAATGGGTCGCACCAGCCAACTTGACACAGTGGGTTGGGGCTAGGCCTCCTCGTCGGGCACTTACCCCCACAAAGACATCTTCCAGTGGCAGAGGGGGTGTCCTACTGGCCACCTTCAAAATGAGCTGCACAGCAGAAGCTGACAGCACGTAACCTGTACCTGAGGCATAGGGTGGATAGGGGCCCCAAGTTAGAGGCCACTGCTCCTCTGTTACATGGTGCCGACCCCCTGGCATCCGAGAGGGGTTTGCCCTCCAGTGTACCCTGCCCAGGTACAGAAGAGGCACTGCTTTGCTATGTGAGGCTGGGACTCCTGTGACTGCAGCCTCTCTCGGGGGCTCCGTTCCCCTTTCCCATTGCTCCCAACGGCCTCCTCGCAGCACCAACTCTGATACCAGTTCTGGGACATTGACATATACATCATCGTCCGTCTTGAGAATATAGCGGGCCAAGGGGCAGTATTTGTCAGCCCAGTTGAGCCCGCTGAGGGTCTTGAGGGTGAGATTGCGGTAGGAGTCTTGGAAGGCCGCTTGTAAGATATCCCCCTGGGCCGTTGACTCCCACACTAGGTCATTCCCACGAGAGTCCCTGCTAGGGTGCTGCCTGTTGGGCTCTCCCAGCAGGAAGAGGGTCTGCACCCTGAGTCCCCGGGCCTCACGCAGCCCACCCCACGAAGCCCGAATGGCGTTTCTCTGGTTCAGGTTCTCCGGGGCTGTGCACACCAGAATTAGCAGGAAGGGAGGGGCGCCGGGTCCACCGCAGGCCTCCTGATTGGGGATCAGGAGGCGGGGCAGGGCGAGGGGCGGCCCTGGTGAAGCTGGGGCTGGCAGCAGGGAGGCTAGCGAGAGGCTCAGCAGCTCCTCCCCAATCCCCGAGGGCCCAAAGAGGGTCCAGACGATCACCAGCAGCAGGGAAGAAAGGAGAAGTCGCCGGAATAGACTGAGGGTCATGGCGTGGCACAGGTGGAGATCAGGAATGAAAAGATGCTTACAGAGTGGTGAGAAGCTCCATTTGGCCTAGATCACGTGTTCGCGCTTAACGGGCCGTGCCTAGGACATGGGAAACTCACGTCCCCCAGTACCATCGCACTTGGGTACAACAGCTGTATCCTGCCGAGTTACCTTGTTGCTGCCACTTCCTCCACCCTTCCAATCATTTGCGCAGGCGTTCACATCCCCACCGGAAACAACGTCGGAGCCGCGTCAAAGCAGCGCGACACGGCGGAAGCGGTCAGCGAGAAGCAGTGACAGAGTCAGGCGGCTCTCTCGCTGTCTGCCACCCTGACCTGGGTCCACCTCCGTCCTGGGGCTCGCTTTTTTTTTTTTTTTTGAGACAGAGCCTCAAGCTGTCCCCCTGGGTAGAGTGCCGTGGCATTACAGCTCACAGCAACCTCCAACTCCTGGGCTCAAGCGAGTCTCCTGCCTCCGCCTCCCAAGTAGCTGGGACCACAGGCGCCCGCCACAACGCCCGGCTATTCTTTGGTTGCAGCCGTCATTGTTGTTTGGCGGGTCCGGGCTGGGGATTCGAACCCACCACCTTAGGTGTACGTGGCTGGCGCCTTAGCCAGTTGAGCTATAGGCGCTGAGCCGGGGCTCGCTTTTTGACAACAGTCTGTTACCCTGGGTAGAGTGCCATGGCGTCATAGCTAACAGCAACCTCCAACTCCAAGGCTCAAGCGATCATTTTGCCTGTCTTTTAGTAGAGATGGGGGTCTTGCTTTTTGCTGTCTGGGAATGACGCCGGGACATTCCACTGTTAGGATTACGGGCGAGAGCCACCACGCTTGGCCTGGGGCACACTCTTGGTCAGTGAAATTGGTGCGCATAGTTTTTTCTTTTTGCTTTCTGTCTAAAGGACTTTTTCTCCATCAGCCTGGCCGTTATCTTCCAACCATTAGGACTTCATCTTTTAGAAACCTAAGGTGGGGTGGTGACTGTGGCTCAAAGGAGTGGGGTGCTGGCCCCATATGCTGGAGGTGGAAGGTTCAAACTCAGCCCCAGCCAAAATCAGCAAAAAAAATTAAAAAAAAAAAAAAAACAGAGAAAGAAAAGAAACCTAAGGTTGTCAAACTTGTAATGGCTCACCTAACTTAAACTGCCTAGGCTCAGCTACCCACAACCCTTCTGGGTTCTCCCCTTCAAGGCTGTGAATGTTGCTTGTTCCATAATCATTTATATGTACTCTGTATATCACAGGGTGGGACTAGATAGACAGTATTACTTGTGAAGGATCATCACCACTGTTAAAACCAATGGTATTGTTTGGGTAGCTGAGTTAAGACAGTGCTATCTGAGCAAAAGGGGAGAAATGACCAACAAATAGGATCCAGCACTGTAACATTCCCACTTAGCAACACCAGAAGGGAGAAGCACTAAGGAAGCCATAGGTATATAAACGTTTTATTAACAGACAAGGCCTACAGACTTATTTCTTCTTGGACACACCCACGGTACGGCCACGGCGGCCAGTTGTCTTGGTGTGCTGGCCTCGGACACGAAGGCTGCAGATAAAAAGAAAGGCTTGTAGGTCATACACAGCACAAAGAAAAGGTAGGGGAAAGCATTATGGTGCGACTCTAAAGGGAGGCAGGAAGATGAGACCACCCCCAAACTCACCCCCAGAAGTGGCGCAGCCCTCTATGGGCCCGAATCTTCTTCAGCCGCTCCAAGTCTTCCCGGAGCTTGTTGTCCAGGCCATTGGCCAGGACCTGGATTGGAAAAAGAGGGTGAGGGATGTTAGGATGTTTGTTTTATCCCAATCACATATGCTCAATTCTATCTGGAACCCCCCTTTCCTCCAATCCTGCCCATCTCAATACACACCTGGCTGTATTTTCCATCCTTTACATCCTTCTGTCTGTTTAAAAACCAGTCTGGGATCTTATACTGGCGTGGATTCTGCATAATGGTGATCACACGTTCCACCTGGCAGGCAGGATAAGGTCAGACCAAGATGACCTCCTTTCTGAGTCAGGCCCAACTCCCACCCTGTTTGTTCCCTGTCCTCACCTCATCCTCTGTGAGTTCTCCTGCCCTCTTGGTAAGGTCAATGTCTGCTTTCCTCAATACTACATGAGCATATCTTCGACCCACACCCTGAAATGAGAGGTTTCAGATTAGGATTGAATCTCATTTTTTGTATTCCCTTGTAGCCCCATTATTCAAGAGATCTGCAAAAAGCTCAGTGCCTGTGGCTCAAGCGGCTAAGGCGCCAGCCACATACACCTGAGCTGGCGGGTTTGAATCCAGCCTGGCAGCTTGGTGCCTGTGGCTCAAGTGGCTAAAGTTTCAGCCACATACACCTAAGGTGGCGGGTTTTAATCTAGCCCAGGCCCGTCAAACAACAATGATGGCTGCAACCAAAAAATGGCCGGGCGTTGTGGTCCCAGCTACTTGGGAGGCTGAGGTAGGACTCACTTGAGCCCAGGAGTTGGAGGTTGCTGTCAGCTGTGATGCCATAGCACTCTACCCAGGGGGACAGCTTGAGGATCTGTCTCAAAAAACAAACAAACAAACAAACAAGCCAGGCGTTGTGGTGGGCGCCTTAGTCTCAGCTACTTGGGAAGCGGAGGCAGGAGACTCGCTTGAGCCCAAGAGTTGGAGGTTGCTGTGAGCTGTGATGCCACGGCAGTCTACCCAGGGTGACAGCTTGAGGCTGTCTCCAAAAAAAGAATCTGCAAAAGTAAGACCTGCAATAACTTATTGTTTTACAGATCACCTTTCCCTCACCCACCTTCCTAGATATAAAGACTAACAATTAAGTAGAAAGAAAAAAAGACAACTTTATTTGCCCGCAGGATTGGACCAAGAATAGAGAGCTCGGCTAGGTGCCAGTCATGTAGACCAAGGCAGGGTGGTTTGAACCCTGCCCCAGCCTGCTAAACAACTACAACAAAAAAAATAGGTGGGTGTTGTGTCGGGCGCCTATAGTCCCAGCTACTTGGGAGGCTGCTGCAAGAAAACTGCTTAAGCTCAAGAGTTGGAGGTTGCTGTGAGCTGTGACACCAGGGCACTCACTCTACTGAGGGCAACATAGTGAGACTCTTTTGTCTAAAAAAAACAAAACACCACCACTCCAGAAACCTGAAAGCAGTGTCTTTCCCCCTCCATTGCCCAGCATTATGTAGCTGTCAACAAGTGCTCTCTTAATTTTTTACTTTTTTGAGAGTCTCAAGCTGTTGCCCTGGGTAGAGTGTTGTAGCGTCATACATAGCTCAAAGGAACCTCAGACTCTTGGGCTCAAGTGATTCTCTTGACTCAGCCTCCCAAGTAGGTGGGACTACAGGTGCCCACCACAATGCCCGGCTACCTTTTGTTGTTGCAGTTGTGACTGTTGTTTTAGTTGGGCCAGGTTCAAACCCACCAGCCTCAGTGCATGCAGCCAGCGCCCTACCCAGCGAACTATGAGCACTGGCTGCTCTCTTAATTTCTGGATGGAGAAGGAATAGCCTGTCTCTCCAACCTGATGGAGCCAGTCTTGTGAATCAACAAGGCTGAGCAGGGTACTGGATTCAGTTTCTTAGAGTTAATTCTCTAGGCACATCACCATATCCCCATGACCAATGTTTTCTAAGACTATAAACTTGTTTGTCAGTGCCCAGAGATAACTGGCTTTAAGTTGAATAGTGCCCCCAATTTATGTCCACCTAAAACCTCAGAATGTGACCCTATCTAGAATGGGCTTAGTAGAAATAATGAGGTAAAACAGAGGTTATACTGGATTAGGGTAGGCCCCAAATCCAGTGATTGGAAACCTTTTAAAAGACAGAGACAGACACAGACGAGGGCGCAAAAGAAACAGACCGAAATGTTGCTACAAGCCAAAGAGTATCAAGGATTATTGACAACTCCAGATACCAGGAAGAGGCAAAGTAGGATTTTGAAGGTCTTCAGAGCAAGTATGGTCAATGACAACCTTAACTTTTGGCTTCCAGAGCTAAGAGAATAATTTTCTGTCTTGTTTATGGAAACTTGTGATAGGAGCCCTAAGGAAATGGAAACAAATGACATTATCTCTATCGAAGAAAGTGACCAAGGGCCAAATTATCAGGTTGATTCTGTAGAAATCAAGAGTCTAACTTAAGTATTTACAAATGAAACACCACATTTGCAATTTACTTGAAAATAGAGTGGGTAGGGATAAAGATTTGTAAGTTTTAGATATAAGTACGGGGGTGTCATTCATTTGTGGAATAGCTCAAATTCTCATTCTTGTAGTCCAACATTTCACTTCCCATGTAATAGAAAAGTTGATACTTCTATTAGTATAGAAGTCAGGCCCAACTTAGTATTATTCTCTTTAAGTATCAAGAACATTATAGGTGGTTGGGTATGGTGGTTCACGCCTGTAATCCTAGCACTATGGGAGGCCAAGTCAATGGATTGCTTGAGGTCACGAGTTTGAGACCAGGCTGAGCAAAAACGAGACCCCATCTTTACTAAAAATAATAATGAACAACAAGTCTAAGGCAAGAGGACTGCTTGAGCTCTAAGAGTTTGAGGTTGCTGTGAGCTATGATGCCATGGTACTCCACCCAGAGTGACAGCTTGAGACTGTCCAAAAAAAAAAAAAAAAAAAGGAACATTACTGACGGCCTCTCCCCTGCCTGCATAAACTTCCACCCTTCACTCTTTCCTGGTTTATTTACTATACTTAGCACTACTTCAACCATATTTTTGGAGGACACATTCCTCATACCCAATCTCCCTATTCCTGCTCAATCTTCTTTCAACTTTCCTCCGACTCTTGGGCTCAAGTGATCGTCTTCCCCTGTTTTTCTATTTTTAATAGAAATAGGGGTCTCACTTTTGCTCAGGGCAGTCTCAAGCTCATGAGCTCAAGCGATCCACCCTCCTTGGCCTCCCATTGTGCTAGGATTACAGGTGTGCAACACTGAGCCCAGCATCTTCTTCCAACTTCTAAGGATCCTCCCTCATACTAGATCCTCAACCAAGACCACACTCAATCTTTCCTTCTCTTACCAGGCTGGCTCTCCACTCTATAGCCTCATTAAATACTGAAAATGTGCTATGTGCTATTATTTTTCCCTCAGTTGTAAGTTGACTACATAGGTTGGTCAAAGTAAAAAATACAAAACCAGGAAATGTCAAAGAGGCAGACAGGTTTAGCAGAAGCATCCTATTAACCCTGCTTTTATAGACATTATCTCACTTAAGCCTCATTCATATCTATAAAACAGGTACTATATTTTGTACTGCTTTACTAGTTTCCCAAAGTGACTAACGGAAGGAAGCAATTTTCTTCTTTATCACTTAGAAGCAAATGAAATCTGACAGACTTTATAAATCAAATGTAAGACTTACTGCTTAAACTCAGCTATCTTTTGATAAATACCACTACATGCTTCCTCAATCTTAACAGGCTCTTTTAATTTTATCCTCTATGAAATTTTTATTAATTTCCTTAAAATTCCTCAAGACCAGGCAGCAGTATCCTTCAAGCCATTCATGCAGCAGAACCTGGGAATCATGATCAAGACAGGCCTAGCCCTACCCTTGTGCAGTGTACACACACTAGTTAAGACAAAAAGGCATTTGTTAGGTTTGTGGAGAGAAGCATCAAAGCTTCCATTTACTGACTCTAGCAAGAAGCCAGAGACATGTACTGGTCCCATTCCAACTGAAAAGGAGCTTTTACTCAGGCATATGTAAGTGTCCTGCTCTTATCTCTCCCACTCAACTACATGTTTCTTCACAGTTGGTGTCTACTTGCATTTCTACTAACCCTCAGTATGTTCCATTATCCAATTCTCAGGGCACATAAATTTCTCAGGAACAACTGTACGATGTACTGGGGGAGGAGCAGGAGACAGAAGGGCTATCTACAGGAGACTCAAAAGCTGATGGTCCAGAAAAATCTTTAGCAAACACAAGCAGGCAAATTTATCTGCCCCTATCTCCGTGAAATGTTTTGGCTTGACCTTAGGCTAGACTACTCTCCAGGCTTTCATTATTCATCTTTTATGGCAAACATGTTAAGGAATCAGTCACTCCTTTAACCCTTTTTTTAGCCCATTAGTAAGGAGATATGAATAAGACTCATGTCTCCTCATCCTTTCCTCATTTATTGCTCAAGTCTTAACTCAGTTCTCACTTAAATTCTCTCATCCTTACCCTACTTTACCTTAATAGCGGTGATAGCAAAGGCTATTTTCCGCCGCCCATCGATGTTGGTGTTGAGTACTCGCAAAATGTGTTGGAACTTCTCAGGGATCACTAGAGACTGCAAAAGGATAGGGGAGAAAACCACCGTGAACTATCAAACTGTAAGGTCGATAAAGCAAATGAACAACCTCAAACAGAAACATTAAGCTTGTGACAGGTGGAGCAAAGACAATCCCCCCTCCAGGTGTTCACACCACAGCAAACTCCTTACTCCTAAAGATAGCAAGAACAGGAAGCATTCAACCTTCGGAAAATGCAACCTTTGGTAAGTGAAAAATGGGTCTCCTCCCTGCTTCTAAAAGTACACTCTGCACGGCGGGAGCTGGAGTTCCCCACAGACGCTCGAGTTCTGGCAGCTTCCGTGAGCTTGGGTAAATGGGTGACCCTTCCTCAGGGCCTTCCCGCGGAATTCAAAATCTCTGGTGTCCCTTCCCAGGTACGCAATCCAAGATTCCACACAGACGTTTGCAGGACCTCAGGACAGGGCGTTGTCGGCACCCTGACAGCAGACAGTCCCTGCCCCGGTTCCGATGTCGCTAGATCCCAGTACAGATTCCAGTCTTACCATGGCGGCGGCAAAACCGGCGGCGTGTAAGCCTCCTGTGGAAGAGAGAACGGAAGTGACGCAATATTCTTATATAGCTTCTTGAAGGAAGAGGCGGAGCTACCTAGGAGACGCGTTTCCGGAAACTGCTTCAGTGCTAGCCGACTGGACTTAATGAGAGTAAGTCTTGGGTGCCACAACTTCCGGTGCGTCATTTCTTTACAGTTCGTAAACGTCTTGGTTATAAGAACAGCGAAGGTTCCAGACCGTGATTGTGCTTGGGACAACTACATTCTTGTTTGCATCTGGGTGAAGTGGTTGGAGCTGAAAGGGGAAGGCTGGAGTTAATTTGTCAAATATCTGGGAACGATTTCACGCTGCGCAAGACCCTCTGGGACTCGTAGTTCCACTCCCGGTAACGGACTCGGCCGGACAGCTGCCGGAAGTGAGGCTGTGGGGAATGGCCGCTGCTGCGACCATGGCGGCAGCCGCACGGGAGCTGGTGATGCGGGCCGGGACCTCAGATATGGAGGAGGAGGAGGGCCCGCTGGTGAGAGTACTGGGCTGTTACTCCTCCGTAGTCCTGATGATCCTCGCGTCCTAGATGTCTGGGCTGGGTTTAGGCTCAAGGATGGGAGCTTGGCTGCTACCCCTGGTGCTACCTGTTTGGTTCCCCATATCCCTCTCCTGGTGCGACTCGATTTTGAGCAGGGTCCAGAATGGCTGAAACTCAAGTTCTGGGGCTCAATTTCAACTTTCTCCTCCACATTTTTGGGTGGAATAAAGAATCAGTGTAATGCAAAGGTTAAGAGTATGGCCTGGGTAGCCAAACTTCTTGGGTTCTAATACCAGCTCTGCCACTTACAGTCTTTGTGTCCTTGACCAAATTAATCAGATTCTATGTCCTTGTCCAAGTTAATCAGATTATCTCAGATGTCTCTATCAGATTTAATTTAAACACCTGTAAGGTGAGGAATGCGATAGGACCTACCACACAGGTTGTCGTTAGGATCAGGTGAACATCTGTAAGATGGGACCTGGCACACAAGTAGTTGCTATGTATTAGTTGACATTTCTAGACAATCTGGGGTTCCCCAGGATTGTCATAGAACAGCGGGAGTCTGAGGGTCCAAATTCAACTGCAAGTTCTGCTTTGTTTTCTGCAGCTTCTAAATTTTTTCATTTGGGCTCCTACAAAGTCTTATAAATTTAGATGGGGTCTTGCTATGTTGTCCAGGCTGGCCTCAAGTTCCTGGGCTCAAGCAATGTCTTCCCAATTAGGTGGGTCTACAGGGCCAGCCACTTGGCTGGGCTAGCTTGTCATATTCTTTTTTTTTTTTTTCAGACAGAGTTTCACTTATTAACCCTTGGTAGGGTGCTGTGGCCACACGGCTCACAGCAACCTCCAGCTCCTTGGGCTTAGGCAATTCTCTTGTTTCAGCCTCTCAAGTAGCTGGGATTACAGGTGCCCACCACAACTACCTGCTATTTTTTTGCTTTGTTGCTGTTTGGCCGGGGCCGGATTTGAACCCACCACCCTCGGTATATGGGGCCAGGACCCTACCCAATTAGCCACAGGTGCCGCCCTATCTTGTCATATTCTTTACCCATCAGTCCAAAATAGTAAATTAGATACAGTGTGAGCCTTTTGGAATTTTTTTACTCAGCACCTGTGGCTTTCCAGTAAAAGCACCTCCCTTCAGACTGGAAGGATTAGGGGTATCCAATTATATTTTATTCTCCTTTTTCCCTATCTCTCTGCAGGGGGGTGGCCCTGGGCTCCAGGAACCACTGCAACTTGGGGAGTTGGATATCACCTCTAATGAATTCATCCTGGATGAAGTTGATGGTAAGTGATAGCATGGAGTAGGTGCAGAGTACCTGTAATCTGAGAGGTGTGGGGGCTGGAAGGAATAAGGGAGGGATTGGTATACAGATGCTTCATGTGGGGAGAGGGAGCTGTGGAGCTGGACACTTATAATAAACTTCTATTTTCAGTTCACATTCAGGCAAATCTGGAAGATGAGTTAGTAAAGGAAGCTCTTAAAACGGTGAGGCTTTCCCCTGTGTTAATCTTCCCTTTCACCTACCCTCCCCCCCAAAAGAAGAAACAATAGCCTACTGCTTTTCTTATATCACCCTAGCATCTTATCCTTCAGCCTTTCACTGGTTCTGTTCCAGTGTCCCTTCACTGGACTTCTCCTGATTTGTCATCTTTATGTTATACCAGGGTGTGGATCTTCGTCACTATTCAAAGCAGGTTGAGCTGGAGCTACAGCAAATTGAGCAGAAATCCATTCGGGATTGTATCCTCCAGCATAAGGAAGGGAGGGTGTTATTGACATGGGGATTTTGTGGGATGTGGTTCAGATAGCCCAGTTGCGGCTATCTTCTCTCTGAGGTTTCTGTCACTTCAGGGAGAAATTGGAGAGGTATTGCAGGTCTGAAGATCTCCATCTTCACTATGAGACCCCTTGACTTTTTGTGGGTTAGATATCCAAGAGAGTGAGAATATAGCATCTCTGCACAACCAGATCACAGCCTGTGATGCTGTCCTGGAGGTTAGTAACCATAATTACCGTGACCCCAATAACCCTGAACTAGATCATGGCCATTTTTATTTTTTTTTCTAGTAGAGACAGGGTTTTGCTTGTTGTTCAGGCTGGTCTTCAACTATTGGGCTTAAATAATCCTCCTCTTTCAGCCTCCCAGAGTTGCTGGAGTTATAGGCATAAGCTACCATGACCAGCCTCTGTTGCCATTTTTTTTTTTTTTTTTTGAGACAGAGTCTCAAGATAATTGCCTTGGGTAGAGTGCCGTGGCATCACAGCTCACAGCAATCTCAAACTCTTGGACTTAAGTGATTCTCTTGCCTCAACCTCCCAAGTAACTGGGACTACAGTTGCCCGCCACAATGCCCGACTATTTTTTGTTGTTGTTGTTGCCATTGTTGTTAGCAGGCCTGGGCTGGGTTTGAACCCATGAGCCTAGGTGTATGTGGCTGGCGCCCTAACCACTGAACTTTGGGTGAGGCCCTCTGTTGCCATTTTTTAGGTCATCAGCCTTAGATGGAGACAAGTTAGTGTCATTTTTAGGATGACTTCAGGAGCCTTTTTTGTTGTTACTGCCATAATTATTATTTCCTGATACCTTTTGGGTACCTCATCACCTGCCACCCTCATGGACTAATAGATACTGGGAATTTCACCAAGAAACTTAGGTGGCCCACCTTTCCTAACCCTTTGGCATTCCAGCAACATCTTCTGCCCTTCCCCTAGCGAATGGAGCAGATGTTGGGAGCTTTTCAAAGTGACCTCAGCTCCATCAGCTCTGAGATCCGGACACTGCAAGAACAGTCAGGAGCCATGAACATCCGACTTCGAAATCGCCAGGCAGTTCGGGGGAAACTTGGGGAACTTGTTGATGGTCTAGTGGTACCCTCTGCTCTGGTCACGTGAGTTACTTGTTTGAAGGGTCATAATGTCCATAGCAGGTAGATAGGCTGGGACCTACCCTATTTACCACATGGGTCTCTCAGCTCTAGATCCTCAAGTACCTTTGAAAAATTAATGATGGCTTGGCGCCTGTGGCTCAAGTGGCTAAGGCGCCAGCCACATACACCTAAGGTGGCGGGTTCCAATCCAGCCTGGGCCCACCAAACAACAATGATGGCTGCAACCCCCCCCCCCCCAAATAGCCGGGTGTTGTGGCAGGCGCCTGTGGTCCCAGCTACTTGGGAGGCTGAGGCAGGAGACTCACTTGAGCCCAGGAGTTGGAGGTTGCTGTGAGCTGTGATGCCACGGCACTTTACCCAGGGGGACAGCTTGAGGCTCTGTCTCAAAAAAAAAAAAAGAAAAGAAAAATTAATCATGGATTGACAATCATTTTTAACCTTGATATATATTTAATCATCAAAGATTAGGAATGTTTCAAGCTTGGGTATGTAGTGTAGGGGCCCAAGGCTTATAGGGCAAGGTTATCCAGGGATAGAAAATTTATATATGTATGTCTTGACTATATAGCACAGTGTAAGAAGGTAGAGATGACAGAAGCTGGAGGTACGGGGTGTGGTTTGGGTCTGATTTAGGGATGTCTGAGTCTACTTCTAACCCTCCCACTCCTCCCTGACACCCAGGGCAATTCTGGAGGCTCCAGTGACAGAGCCCAGGTTCCTGGAGCAGCTGCAGGAGCTAGATGCCAAGGCAGCTGCAGTCAGAGAGCAGGAGGCTAGAGGCACAGCAGCCTGCGCGGACGTTAGAGGCGTACTTGACCGGCTGCGGGTCAAGGTGGGGAGCAGGGATGGATTACCCTGGAGACTACTAGAACCGGCCTCCCTAAGACCTTCACTCTGGATTTCCTTGGCAGAGCTGTTGTAGCCTGTTCCCCAGAACCTCACCCTACCTTTTCCCAGCAGAGCTCATCCTTGCCCCTCTGAGTATCCCTAAAACGCTTTTTTTGTTCTTGTTGTTATTGAGATAGAGTCTCACTTTGTCACCCTTGGTAGAGTGCTGTGGCATCAATTCTCACTGCAACCTCAAACTCTTGGGCTCAGCGATTCTCTTTGTCTCAGCCTCCCTAGTAGCTGGGACTACAGGCACCCCCACAATGCCTGGGTATTTTTTTGTTGTTGTTTAGCAGACCTGGGCAGGGTTCGAACCCACCAACCCTGGAGCATGTGGCAGGCCCCCTAACCACTGAGCTACGCCCCCCCAATTGCTCTAAAACTCTTAAGAAATACCAAAGAGATATTCTCCACTGTTCTTCCTGTGTTTAGTTTTTGTCACTTCCCCCAGTTCCTCTCACACAGTAAGAGGATTGCAGGCTCATGCTGTGCATTTGGTCCCTCTGTCTAGGCAGTGACAAAGATCCGAGAGTTCATTCTCCAGAAGATTTATTCCTTCAGAAAACCAATGACCAACTATCAGATCCCTCAGACGGCCCTACTGAAGTACAGGTCACCACCTGAAGGAAGTACACGGGATGGCCTTTGAGCTTTTGAGGAGCCTAGTATGGGTATCTGGTTTCTTATGCAGACAGGGAGACTGACTTGTCCCTGGCCCCTCCAGGTTCTTCTATCAGTTCCTGCTGGGAAATGAACGAGCAACAGCAAAGGAGATCAGGGATGAATATGTGGAGACGCTGAGTAAGATCTACCTGTCTTACTACCGCTCTTACCTAGGGCGGCTTATGAAGGTGCAGGTGAGGCCAAGGAGGAAGAGGCATTCCTGGGCATACGGACTGGAAGGAGGAGACAGCTCTGGGCAAAGAGGGACAGTAATTTTTTATTGTGTCATGGGAAGAGAGTTACCAATTCTTTTTTTCTGTTTTGTCTAGTATGAGGAAGTCGCTGAAAAAGATGATCTAATGGGTGTGGAAGATACAGCAAAGAAAGATATCCTAATATTGGGGAACCCTTTTGCCAGGCTTTGAAAGGTAGAGGACCCCTGGCTTCAGTCACTAAACCAGTGCTTCTTACCTTTTTCCGTAGACAGAACCTTTGCTAATGTGATGAAAGCTATCTAGCCTCCCTTACTCCCCAGTAAAAGGTACACATTTTGACATCCAATTTAGCATATTATTCAGGAGGTACAGAAACCCCTCAAGCCCTGTCACAGATGTCAGGTGAAGCAAGGCCTTTACTGAGAAACAGGGATGTCTAGGCTGCATCTGGCTGCCTGGGGTTCCTGGGGATACTGAGTCGTTGGGCCCAGCTCTGGTCTCATTGTTTTCCCTGACTCTAACCCTTCTCACGATTCTTCTCGAAGCCATCCCTCCGCAGCAGAAACACCATCTTCACCCTGGGGACCCGTGGTTCTGTCATCTCTCCCACTGAACTTGAAGCCCCCATCCTGGTGCCCCATACAGCCCAGCGGGGAGAGCAGAGGGTATGCGGATGAACGAGCTTCAGTTCTGAAGGGGACTCTGAGCATGGGAGGGAAGGCTCAGACTCAGGCCAAAGGTTCCCGATCTGCAGGCCCTTGTATCAATCCCCTTGGACTCAGGAGTGGCCTTCTGTGATCACTCTAGCTTGCTGTGATGTGAGAAGGGTTGGGAACCATTGACTCAAGGACATGGAAGAGGGTGAGACTGGCTGAGGGGAATGACTGAGGCAGATGTTGGAGTAGATGCAGGAATATCAGCAGCAGGTGGGGGTGGACTCTTCCTGTTCCCCTTATGTCCCCTCACCTTTTTATTACTTGTTCAGGATTCTCTTTCACAGCCTGCATGTAGCTCTTGTTACCCAGGTTTACTGATTTTCCAGCCATATCGATGGTAAATCAGTGCTGGGGTCATCTGTCTTTTTTCTTTATCCCTCTGCTCCTAGTATCCGTTTGAAGCCCTCTTCCGCAGCCAGCACTACGCCCTTCTAGACAATTCCTGCCGCGAATATCTTTTCATCTGTGAATTTTTTGTTGTGTCTGGTCCAGCTGCACATGACCTATTCCATGCTGTCATGGGCCGTACACTTAACATGACCCTGGTAAGATCCCTGTGTTTCCTATTTTTTAAACCCTTTTGTTCAGTTGTCATCAGCACTGATGAGTGGGTTCATAATTATAATAGGGCTGAAACCAGGATCCCCTTATTCTAGAATGTCTAAAGCTTGTACTTACAGTGTGACTCTCCATGAAATTTTCAGAGCTGGGGGTCCCTGAGACTACCCCGACTGCTGATTCATTATCAAGGCAGTAGCACCAGGAAACTCATGATTCTCATGATTTTTAGGGACCCCTAAATCTCAGTGCTCATACCCCAGACTTAAGCTCAGCTGTGAATTCTACTGTGATAGGCTTGTGATCATAGGTCTTTGTGACCAACGCATCAGGACTGTCTGAGTGGCAGTGGGCAGGGAACTGGCCTGGGGTAGGGGTGAGAATAGCTTTTCCCTTTTAGATCTCTCCCTTCCTTCCCACCCAGTGACTCATCCCCAAAGAAATAACATGTATTTGTTCATAGTTGATGGAAAGGACAAACTAATATTCTCTTCCAATCCACTGCCTGTTTCCAAATCACAGAAACACCTGGAGTCCTATCTAGCTGACTGTTATGATGCCATTGCTGTTTTTCTCTGTATCCACATTGTTCTTCGGTTCCGCAGCATTGCAGCAAAGAGGGATGTTCCTGCCTTGGACAGGTCACTGAATTCTGGTCTTTGAAGTACTGCAGGCCATGAACTGTCTTGGTCTTACCTATTGGCCTGATACCATTGACCCTTATTCCCCCATTCATCTGCTTTTAGATTCACCTTTCACACACACACCCACCCCTACCCACCTTCATTCCTTAATTTAGGGATACCTTACTTCCTCCTGGCCCTCCAAACTTCCTTGCCAGCTGAACTTTGATTCTGATTAAGCCCATAGGTACTGGGAACAGGTGCTTGCCTTGCTATGGCCACGGTTTGAGCTGATCCTGGAGATGAATGTCCAGAGCGTTCGAAGCACTGACCCTCAGCGCCTTGGAGGATTGGATACTCGGCCCCACTATGTGAGGAGGGCAAGGGTAACAAGGGGTTCTTGAAAGGCAGGGCTCTGAGCTTCACTGTAAGGCTTGGCCAATGTCACAGTTGTGTAATGGGCCATACTCTGAGTGAGAAGTCTAGGAATGGGGTCAAGCTTATGGTGGATTGGGTACTACTGTTAGGAGGGATTTGGAGGAGGAAGTCAAATGGAGGTTGGATGGCCAAGGGAGTAGGGAGGTTGTGTTGGTTGGGCTGGGATGGGGGCTGTGTTATTTTCTTTCCACTGTCTTTCTAGATCACACGCCGATATGCAGAATTTTCTTCTGCTCTGGTCAGCATCAACCAAACAATACCCAATGAACGGACGATGCAGCTACTGGGACAGCTGCAGGTGAGGGTAGGGCAGGAGAGACCTCCCAGTAGGAGGGCTGCTGCCATTCGTGGAGGGTGAGAAGGGGTGAGGTGACCTTACTTTCTCCTGTCATTTCCTTTTGGCTTTTTCAGGTGGAGGTGGAAAATTTTGTCCTCCGAGTGGCAGCTGAATTCTCCTCAAGGAAGGAGCAGCTTGTGTTTCTGATCAACAACTATGACATGATGCTGGGTGTGCTGATGGTAACAGAGGCACCTTCTCCCGACCTTCCTACCCAGAGAATTCAGTTCCCCCCACTGCTCTGTTATCTCCGTGAGGGCAGAGATGATATCTGTCTAGTTCATTGTTTTTCTCTTGGAGTCTGGTACGGGTCTGACTAAGAACAGTAAGTGTGGAATGAAAGGCACATCCTGAAATGAAGCACTGCCTTCCCCAAACTTTACATTTCTCTGTTTCTCCTTAGGAACGGGCTGCAGATGACAGCAAGGAGGTTGAGAGTTTCCAGCAGCTGCTCAATGCTCGGACACAGGTACGGGCATGGGGAAGGGAAGAAGGAAAGGGACAGTCTTGTGTGTACACACACACACACACACATTTATTTTAATAGACCTGACGTACAGGTCTATTATAATTGGAATTACTTATAATTCTTAGTTTGTAACACGGTGCATATATTTTATTTTGTTTTTTAATAATATCAACATCCATGGGTCCATTACACAATTTAAGAATAAGCACCTTGGCAAAAACCTACATCAGACTAAATTCCTCCTCACTCTGTCCCCTGCCTCTTATGCAGAGGCACCTGTTGATCTAAATGTTGTATTTAACATGCTCTTCCTTTTTCCCCCTTGGGTTTTTTGGGGGTATTTTTCTTTTTTTCCTAACCACTAGACTACCGGGGATTTTTTTAAATGCTCTTGCTTTTATAAATGTAACTAATATATCTCATATGTATACCAAAACAAAAGTTCATTCTATTTTTAAGTGCCACAAAAACAGAATCATAGAATTTTTTTTTTGTTTGAAATAGGATATCACTCTGTTGCCCAGGCTAGAGTATAGTGGTATCATCATTATAGCTCACTGCAACCTCAAACTTCTGGCTCTGAGCTCAGGTAGTCTTCCTGCCTTAGCCTCCCAAGTAGCTTTCTACTTTTCTTTTTTTCTTTTTCTTTTTTAAGACAGAGTCTCAAGCTATCACCCTGGGTAGAGTGCTGTGGCTCACAGCAACCTTCAACTCATGGGCTCAGGTGATCCTCTTGCCTCAGTTTTTCTACTTTTAGTAGATGGGGGGTTTCACTTTTTGCTCAGGCTGGTTTTGAACCCGTGAGCTCAAGCAATCTACCTGCCTCGGCCTCCCTGAGTGCTAGGATTACAGGCATGAGCCACTGCACCCGGCCTTTTTTTTTTTTTTCCCTGAGACAGAGCCTTACTCTGTTGCCCCAGCTAGAGTGCAGTGGCATCATCATAGTTCACTGCAACCTCGAACTATTGGGCTCAAGAGATCCTCTTGTCTCAGCCTCCCCAGTAGCTGGGACTATAGGCCTGTGCCACCATGCCTGGCTAGTTTTTCTGTTTTTAGTAGAAATGGGATCTCACTTTTGCTTAGGTTGGTTTTGAAGTCCAGAGTTCAAGCGAACTTCCTGCTTTGGCTACCAGAGTGCGGGGATTACAGATGTGAACCACCAGGCCTGGTCTAAGCCTGGTCCAAGCTTCTTAATTGTGTTATCTTTTCTGATTCTTTTCTTTTCTTTCTTTCTTTTTTTTTTTTTTTTTTGAGACAGAGTCACAAGCTGTCGCCCTGGGTAGAGTGCCATGGTGTCATAGCTCATAGCAACCTCAAACTCTTAGGCTTAAGTGATTCTCTTGCTTCAGCTTCCCAAGTAGCTAGGACTACAGGCACCCTCTACAACGCCCAACTATTTTTTTTGGTTGTAGTTGTCATTGTTGTTTGGCAGGCCTGGGCTGGATTCGAAATCCGCCAGGTATGGCGTATGTGGCTGGTGCCCTAGTTGCTTGAGCTGCAGGTGCCGAGCCAGTTTTAATTTATTTTATGTAAATTCTAAAAGTTTAGCATTGGTAGATCTTACTTAAAACATTTGTCATGTAACCCTTTTTAGCCCGAGTACATTTTTTGTCTTAAATTTTATTATGTCTGATGCTAACCTGGCTCTGCCAGCTTTATTTTGGTTAACTTTGCCTATTAATTAATTTCTATCCTTTTAATTTCTGCCTTTTTATGTTTTACATTTTTTTTCTTTCTATTGATCAATGGATAGGGTTCCTCTATGTAGCTCAGGCTGGCCTTGAACTCTTAGGTTCAAGTGATCTTCTCACTTCATCTTCCCAGGTGCATACCAGGCTATTTTCACATTTTAAATGTCTTTTGCTAATAGCATATATCTGTAATTTATTTATTTATTTTGACATATGTTGAAATCCATGGATTATATAGTTTCAACTTTTTTTTTTTTGAGACAGAGTCTTACTTTGTCTGCCTCAGTAGAGTGCTATGGCATCATAGCTCACAGCAACCTCAAACTCTTGGGCCCAAGCAATCCTCTTGCCCAGCTATCTACTTTTTTTTATTTTATTTTATTTTTTTTGAGACAGAGCCTTAAGCTGTCCCCCTGGGTAGAGTGCCCTGGCTTCACAGCTCACAGCAACCTCCAACTCCTGGGCTCAAGTGAGT